GAATGACCTGTACACAATGTGAATGTATATCTGAAGATGAGGATGAGTACACAAGAGAGCAGCAAGGGCAATCTAATGATCTGGCATCCCAAATGGATGAGATGAGATAAATATGATAGACCACAGCAGAGTGGTGGGGAAAAGAGCTGCCAATTATGTTATGCTGCCACTGATATTACACCCCGAAATGGCTGAAGCAATCACAGTCCACCAAATCGATTATGGCTCATTGAAAGCATTCCCAAGTGGCACATTAAAGGTAATGGAAGCAAACATGAGAGAGGCTGAGATTCGATATCACTCACAAAACCCATTGTGCACAAAACAAATAACATTTGATATCAGTACCATACATCTGTGCTGACTGTTATTACATGATCAAACAGAAATGACATGCCTAGAAAAAGCCCATATTCATCTAAAGTGCATTGTGTTGGAACACCTACACCTTTACGGCTGACAGGAGCCGTTTTCGAGGTTTCTCTTACAATGCTTAATCTTAAGGTAGTAAACTGCTTACAAATCAGCACCACATCATCCTGCCATAGAAAACATTTTTTTCACTTCACTAACAATCTACTTGTTTGGCAGAAAGAAATAAAACAGAAAACACTCCATTAAGTAATTCACCTTCAATGACAAGACAACTACGCATGGCCGGTTGATGAGCTTATATGAAGTTTAATGAGCAGTGAAATGTGCCCAAGTGAAGAACATGCTCATTAAACTAACAATTACCCTCACCGTACCAGTTCTAAAGACAATTTCTACACACTCAGCACCCATGAGGAGGCTGAAGCAGCAGGCTAACGTTCAATAGTGACTCACTCAGCTGTTAGAATTGATGGGATTATGATATAGACACTCTTTAATACAGTATGCTATCAGCTATAAACAAGAGCAATATCTTTACCTGAAAATATACTGCATTTATATTACAGTCTGAACATTTACTGACGATTAAACCAGGCAACTAAGCTGTCAAAGTGAAGATAGTAAAGCAGTAATTTCGTTCTACCAAAGGCTCTGAATCAATTATGATGGGCTGTATCACTTTACCCGATATTAATAATGGTTGAATAGTAAGTATGGCTGAATGATTTCTGGAAATGTAAACCAATAAGAGTTCCCAATTTAAAGATCATGGTGGTACCTATAGGCAGAGAGATACCCTTAGCTAAAGACATTTCAAATCATTCCAGAAGGCAAAATCTACTTTGAAATGTATCCACATAAAACAGCAAACTCCTAAAATAGAATGAAATTGTACTATTAAAACAAAAGTATACTTCTATTCTGTCACAGCAGTCAAAAGTAAAGCACAGTCCAATAGAAAACATACGCAGAAAATGAATGCAGGAAATTAATTTACTGAGAAAAACAAAAAAGATTGTGCACTACATTCTGGCTAGAGAGAAAAAATATATACAAAACATCTAATAATCTAAGGGAAAAAGTTTCTTTTCCTTTAAGACTAAATGCTCAGAACTGATATTTGGCACATCCATCATCATAGGCATGGCAGAGAAAAGATTCCTCTCATATTTTTCTTTTGCTGGATACTGAAGCATGCAGGCGATAAACTGCGAGGGATAAAACTGTGCCATAATTCTTCAAGCACATAGCAATCCATCAGTACTGCTCAAGAGATCACCTTTGAACCCACAAAAATATAACTTAGTTTGCCAGTTGGATGTTCCAATTAACCACCATGGTTTATGGTCAGGCACAGGAAAGGACATACATTAATAGCTGAATTTATTTCCTTCCATGTATCAGTCGCTTCAGAGTAGTTAACCAGAACAAATATAATAATCTGTGATAGCACTAACACTGTCAACACTATAAAGCAAGACACACTCACAGCAGATGACATACTGTTTGTCCAAAAGTTTGTAGGCACCTTCTTATTCAACATTTCTGCTGAAATCACAGGCATTAATGTTGAGTTTCCCCCCCTTTGCTGCAGCAACTACTCTTCTGGGAAGGCTTTACACTAGATGTTGGAACATTGCTGTGAGGATTTGATTGTATTCAGCCACAAGAGCACTAGTGAGGTCAAGAACTGATGTTGATTAGTCCTGGATCCTAGACTCCACTCCAACTCATCCTAAAGGTACTCCTAACACTGTTCCACTGCTCCGCAGCCCAATGCTGGGGGGCTTTAGACCCCTCTAATTGACACTTGCCATTGAGCATCGCTCATGTGCGGCTTCTCCACACATGAGCAACTTGTGTGAGCAACTGAACACCTGTGTCAGTAATTGCTGCATCTTAAAGTAGCTGAATTCACAAACAGAAGGGGTGTCTGGAAACTTTTGGACATACAGAGCCAGATGTACACTTGTATGGGACCACAATGCACATGAATTTAACATTCAATTTACTAAGACTGTAGCTTACCATTCACACTATGTGTAGCCCCACCTAGCAACTGCTCACTTATGAGGCGCAAGGCTGAAAAGGGGCAGTGAAATAATGGAGCCATAAACAAGCTTGAGACAAAACAGAAAATAAAAACTAGTGACGAAGAGATAGCCGGCCGCCGTGAGCTTTCACAAACCTTTGTAAATCAAGTGAAATATGTAATTAGCTGCATCTGTATAATCACCACCCACTTTTTTGCACAATCCTCTCACGTTCTGTGTGACCCTCCCTCAAATGCATGTGCATGAGGAAGGCAGCACATTTTATGTTATACCTGGCATGTGGCCCATAAACTGTATGTTTAGGCTTGTGCGCCAGTTTCTAACATAACATGCAGACAGAATACACCTAAAACTACTGCAAAGAGCTTAGTACATCGGGCCTGCAGTGGGCATATCCCAACGGTTTAGCAAAACAGTCCATAATATTTCTTCAGATGCACCTAAAGCAGCTTTCAGAGTAGTTTTATAGACCTAATTTCACGCTCCCTTACACCCTCAACATTGGTTATCTATTGTTGCCAAGGTCCTTCTCTCTATATCTATTTTCTTGCCTCTGGCATTCTTGAATTTCCTTCAGCCCTTCTGACCTGTACAGTGCTTTAGGCATGCCTGCCTGAAGTGGCCTAGTGGCAAATCCCAAAACCACAATGTCTGGCTTATGGACTATGTCATGTCCTACAGTACAGCACTGTCCAGAGCAGCTACATGTTTGAATCCTTCCTAACAGCATAGCATTACTACTGCAGCATCCCTTTAAACCCTGCTGACACTGCATGCTGGGGAGAGTTTACTGTACAGAAACTCACCGAGTACAGTAACTCATTAGACATGCACACAATCAAAGAAATAATGAAACCACAAGAATAAATGTACTAGTTTGGTGCAGTTTCCTTGTGGCGTATACGTGGCATCTCAGAATGGCGTACACAAAATTAAACTGTTCGGAAAGCAAAAAAGCAAAAACTGATGCTAGATTATCACTTTTGAGTCTAATTTCTAGAAGCACTGGTCTTACTGTTATGGGTGGTGTGGTGATTTCGCCGCTGAAAGCTATTCATACCTCTCCTGTTGAAATGGCACAGTTACAGATTCCCCAAGCCAGTTGTGTTTTGCCTCGTGCTGCTTCCTTCTACAAACAATGTAAAGTATATGAAGGTCTGATTGCTGCTTTGGTTTAAGATCCTATGGCGTAAAGTAGAGCACCGACACTGACATATGTGATCCTTCCACCCCTGAATCAACTGAATCTGATGCTTCCAAATGCTTGACAAATACCATTTAATGTGTTTAACAATACAATAGTGCATGTGCTGACGGTGCTCAGAGAAAGTGACCACTGTCCAGCTGATATGGACTAAGAGGGCAGAAACAATGAAACATTAATATAACTCATATCTAAAATTACTTAATAAATTTATAACTGATAAAACCCATGACTGAAATTTAACGGTGTGCAATGAAAGAATTTATTATACGTTTTCATGATAAATTACGTCACAGTTTTCTGAGCATGTTGTGAATATTGTCAATGCTTAAAAACCACAGACCACGTTTCATTACAAAGAGAGCAGAATTAGCCCTGTTTAATTTGATTTAGTGCAGTGCAGAATGTGAAACACTGGATAAAAATTACCATTGTATATTGCACTACTGGGGCTTTTCATCTGTTCCAACTTACCAAAATCACAGAAAAACTAAAAATCATGATGCATATTGTATATTGAGAAAAGGTCTTTAAGTATAGTGATATTATATTTTTGCAATATTGCCCCCTGCAATTGAAAGAAGATAAAAAACAGCCTTCAAGACAAAGTCAACCCAGTGTGGTCAGAAATGTGGATGTGTTTTGCTGCTTCTGGCAGTGATGGCACCACATCTTCCCTCTGTATCTCCTCTGCTGCTATAATGAGTACAACACAGAGCAGTATGTGGAGGTGCCAACGCTGGTGCTGTGCTGCTGAACAGACAGAATACAGTCCAATATGCTTCAGTTAGACAGACCCTGCTCTCTCTCACACACAAAACCCACGAAATGAACGAAGCTGACGCTGTTTTATGCATTATACAACAGCCTGTTATTCTTAGCCTAAACCACCCACTGTACGAGCAGCTTCTAATTTAAATCTGTACATAAGAGAGCAGGAACTGTGTGGAGTCTGACGACAGCGCTGCCTCAGAAAGTGTCTTAGCCCCGTGAAAGCCCACTGCTGGACTGTTAACACACGCTTGCGCCACGCCGTTGACCGTATGTGATGATTTCTCAGCCTGAAGCCGCTGAGGCAGTCCGGAACCTCCCCACAGGAGGCAGGAAGGCGCTCTAACTGTCCAACTCCGGCGGAGGGAAAAAGTGACGAGGCTTGAAATGTTAATAAAATACAGATTCACCTGCGTCGTGACCTGTGGTAGCTGTATAGCCTCCCTCCACAAAGCCTCGGGAAGCAGAAGAGGCAGAGGCGAAACGAAAGAGAGACGAAAATGTGAGGAGACCCCGCACTAGCACTGCACTCACTCACTCTGTGTTAGAAAGACCCTCAGTGCCGTTTAACACTCCTGCGAAGTAACCATACTCACCGCCAGAGAAACGGACATCAATTTCCTGTTTTCAGGCGACAATCACAAAAAGTTTCTCTCCTCTGAGGAGACCGAGTCGGTCCATTTAATCCACCGCCGAGTGGAAGCACGGGGCTGGAGCCTCGCCGGACCCATTCCTGCCGCCGTTCGGGCAAAATATAACACAATAAGACAACATTAAACTGAAGTAAAACGAGGAGCTGGACCGCTGAGCGGAGCAGCAGAGCTCTCCTGTCTGTCTGCCTGTCTGTCTGTGTGTGTGTGTCTGTCTGTGTGCGTGTGTGTGTGTGTCCGCTCCGCCGCTGCAGCCTCGAGTTCTGCACACAGAGTTGGAGCGACTGGAAGGCGCGCGCTGGGTGTGTGTGCGCGCGCGGGCGTGTTCCCGTATTTAACTCTTCGTGGGGACCACATGTCCTGACGTTACAGTGAAATCTGTCCGGCTACAGCGAAGACAAAATCCATTCTCACTATCACGAAAGCAGCTACTGTTTGCCAAAAACAGCAAAAACGATGCTTTGGTAGATGATGTTAAAGGAAACCCCTACCAATTTCTCTAAACTTCTGCGCAGTTATGGTGTTAAGATGTAAACAAAGTCATTCAGAGTGGTTTGGTGTGAAATGCTATGTTCTAGAGAAAATTACAGTCAGAATTGTTCACGGCGGTGGTGATAGAAACCAGATGTCTGAAGAGTTTAACCCCCCAAAGGCTACATCATAACGCTATTAGGTGAAATGGTTAATACACTGATGTCTGATACGTTGTGTTTACGACAGTTTTGAGGCTACGCCCCCCCACCCCCCCAAAAAAAACAACATTCATGGCAGAGAGGTAGGCCTACATGCAGGGGGATAATAAGGCAACATAGTGCCAAAAAGGTATTTTACCACTACTTTACCATCATCAACACATAACATACAAACACTCAAACGACACGTGTAGGTTGTTATGGATAGTAAATAAAATAGCTGTATCTGTGTTGCACATTGTGACACCACTCTAAAGAAACATGTTTCTCTACAATAAACCACTTTAATTATAGTCATTAAACTTTACCATTAGGATCGGATTAGGTGTAAACATCAGCATTTAGCCACAGTAACACAAGGCGCTGATGGAAAGGCCTCATAATGACAGGAATACAAACCCGACTGTGTGTGAGAAAGCGCGAGAGAGAGAGAGAGAGAGCGAGAGAGAGAGAGAGAGAGAGAGAGAGAGAGAGAGAGAGTATAGTGTATACTGCTGATGTTTCCGCTGATTCGTTCGGTGTTGTTGCTATGATACCGCGGAACGTGGCTGAAACTGCTGCAGGATTTGAATAACGGTCTCCTGAAGCGTTCCGCTCGGCCAATGGCCAAACGCGCGCGCCCAACCCGGACCACTCAGGGCCGGTGGGCGGGGCCTGTGCCGAACGGACTCTGCGATGAAGAGAAACAAAACGAGCTAAAACGGCGAAGAAAGTCTGTGAGACAGTCTGTCATCTTGTGTTAACTGAACACGTTCACCTCACAGAGGGAGCTGCTCCTGCCTGTGTGGAGTCACTACAAGGGAAGTTTATGCGTTCTGTTATCGTGTAGAGCTTAAAACAGACTAACACTCTCACAGCTCTTAATACTTTACGACAAAGTATTGAGGTGTGATGTAAATCCCAACAGGTGTGAGTGGGTGACTTTTGCTAGGCCCTACAGCCTTCTACAAATTCAGCTAACAGTTTTTAAGCAAATGTGCACATACACATATTAAAACCAGCTACTTTTTTATTAAATGCTATTAAACATCAGAATGAGGAAAAATGCGATTTAAGTAACTGACAGATGGGGTGGTTTGAGTATTTGTGAAACTGCTGATCTTTTGTTTTTTTCTTCTTTTACTCACAACAGCCTCTAGAGTTTGTAAGAAATGGTGAAAAAATCCAGTAAGCAGCAGTTATGTGGCCTTAAACACCTTGTAGATGAGAAAGATCAGAGGAGACTGACCAGACCTGTTTAAGCTGACAGTAAGGCTGCAGCAACTAGAACAACCACTCTTTACAACAGTGGTGATCAGAAAAGCTTCTCTAAAAGCACAACACCTTGAACCTTGAGGTGGATGGGCTACAACAGCAGAAGGCAACATCAGATTCCACTCCTGCCGGACAAAAAAACAGGAATATGAGGCTATGGTCAATTGCTACTGTGACATGCAGATGGACCCAGAGGAACCTGACTTGTGTCAGCATTTCAAGCTGGCGGTAGCAGTGGTGGTGGTTGTGGTGTGGGGAATGTTCTTTTTTTTCATAAATTGGGTCCCTTAACACCAATCAAGCATCATTTTAATGCCATTTAGTGATAGCCATAGTCATAAAGTGAGTATTGCGGACTCTGCATCCCTTTGTGGCCACAACTTATCCATCTTCTAATGGCTACTTCTCGCATGACGATGTGCCTTGTCCCAAAATCATCTCAAACTGGTTCAATTAAAGTTCAGTGCACTTCAACGGCCTCCCCAGTTACACTGTCAGAAAAAATCTATACCTTTCAGGGTTTAAACTCTGTCACTCAAGGATACGCCTTCAATACCTTTAGTTAGGGAACATAATTATACTACATTATGTTGCAGTTTTTTTTTTAAACCTGCATTGAATCCAGGCCTTTTACTTTATTCTTCAACCTAACCATATACCAAATCTGAACCCAATGGAGCTCCTTCGGGATGTGGTAGAATGGGAGATTTGCAGTATCTGCAGTAATTATGTGAAACATGTCAATGTGGTGCAGAATCTCTAAGTAATGGTTCCAGCATCTTGTTGAACTCACACCATGAAGAATTTACTTCATGGTGTGGGTTTAACAAGGTGCTGGAATCATTTCTTAGAGATGGTCCTGGAACCATTTCTCAGAAGGCTTTTCTGAGAGCAAACAGGGATCCTGCCAAGTATTAGAATGGTGTTCCTAATAAAGTGGCTTGTGAGTGTATTATTTAGCTCATATAGTTAGTAGTCAGTGTGGAGTTGTGCTTTACCTGCATATATTTCCCCATAATTTGTTCTTTGGCAGCCTGTCTTTATAGATAAACTCCAGGTGGAGAGCTGCTCCCAATTTGCAGTGTGGTTTGCCTGTACGAGCAGTCTGCACCCAGCATGCTAGCACTCAGCTGCCTGATCAGACACTCATTAGGGCTTTTTTTTTTACTGCATATTAAACAATGTAGCCTGCGCTTAACTGTTTATGAGCAGTCTTTATTACAAATGATAAGAGGATACATTCTATGCCATAAAAAGGACTAAGCTGGTCATGAGGAGAGTTCAATGGTGGTCAGGAGTCAATAGGCTAAATACACTCACATCATAATGCCTGAAACCTTCGAAAAAGAGACTTCAATAAAAATGGCTTGCATCTCACAACATGCCATAACTGGTATGCTTCTGACAAGATGCCAGGCCTGTTTTCAGCCTGTCCCGTTCATTCAAAGCAAGGCGCTGAATCAGTGCCTGACATATTCAAGCAGTGACAATGAGCAGCTTCTACTGTGGAAGTGCCAAAATGTACATCTACTGGAATACGGAAAATTTCCTGCACCAGCATATCAATGAAATTCCACTTTGAGGAAAACACGTTGCATTAAATTTCATAGCCTGTGCTCAAATATAATGCATATTTATGTTGGTGCAGGGGCCTTGACTACGACTTCAAAACAAACCCCTTCATTACAAGAGAAGGGCAGCGTAAAAATCTCACATCCGATTTATTCCAAGTGGAAAACCTGTTAGTGCTGAAAAATCAATACTGAATCCTTCAACACTGGCATCTCTAGGCCTAACATAAGGTTTGGTTAGCATGTAAACGAAAATATGTAAACACAGGCTGTGTCTGAAACTGAAGGCAGCTGTCTCGATGCCATGCTGTCCATGCTGTCTTATCAGTCAGTGCCTCAGAAGGCAGCTTTGAGATAAAGGTACCTGCAACTGAATCGTGTTTCAGACACTTTCAAAGGCAGAAATACATCATTGCCAAATATTGACAGCTCACTGCTGCTATCTGTTAGCGTCTAGCCGTGTTAGCATTAGGCGTGTCTTTTATGAAGGCTAGCATGCGGATTTCTGCATAACGAAAATGTTTTTTATGTAAATTAAACATTCACCTAACAGGAAGTTCAAAAAGCACCAATGTTCCACTGGATTTATTGGCTAGGCTACGTAAAGCATTGGCCCATTTTAGCCTAAATCAGCTTAGATTAGCAGACCCTTTCAGCAGAACATGAAAACAGACATCATAAAGACGCTGTCACACTTGTTCTAAAATTGCAAAATAAAACAAAATACTAAAAGAGCACAAATTGTTTGGCTAAGATTAGCATGATGATTTTTCTCCTGATATATAATTTATGTAGCATGATTTTTCTCCCAATGGCATCAGTGCGGAACACACAGGTTTACCAAGCAAGAAATATTTTTGCTTTCCCTCACAAACTTCTTGCATTCCCTTTCAATAGTTTTGTGTTCCTTTGGTGTGTATCCTCTAGCAAAATTCATTGCATTTGCAAAGGAATGCAAAATCATTGCAAGAGGATGCACAATTATTGTGAGGGAACTGTTGTTATTATTATTATTATTATTATTATTTAAAAAAAAAACATCTCCTTAGCGGCTCTGTACCCTTTTGAGTTGGCAGCATTTGTTATGTTTCAGACACAGCTGCAGTCTACTTCTAACAGCATATTCTGAATTTCCTTTAGCAGCTTAGTCTTGTATTAGGATGGAGTGGCTTGAAACTGGAATGGCTCAGGCTGAACTAGCCTTCACTAACTGTGGAGTTCTTTATGCCTTGGAAAGCCTTATTAAGGCAAACCTCCATGGCCTTTGATGTGCGGTTCTGCTGCTGCGCCCCATCTTGCCTGAAGATACAATATAGTGTTGATGCAGGAACACTGTTATCCCTCTCATCCTTCCTGCTTCGTCTCCTCCCCAACAGTCAGCACCGGTGGAGAGCGTTTAACGAATCCCACCAGCACCAGCGCAGTCTCTGCGGAGCCGTATCAGATAAGAGCGTCCCCTCTCTCGCTACAGCAAAATGATCTTAGCACTGCTAAGTGCCCATCTGTGTGGCTCCCGACTCCGGCATTCAGTCACAACACACGTGTACGTCCACTGACCGGAGTATTCCCACAGCATTTGAGAAAAGGGCAGCGTCACCAGACCTGCTATTTAGTGGCTTAAAAGCATTAAGGGGATGTCAAGACCCAATAGGGACAATATAGCTCAGCTTAGTGGCCCAT